AGATTTTAATATCTGTTTGTTAATATTGTTAAAGTGCTTTCTATTACTTGTTGAAGACTAACTCATTTAGCCTCCCTCAATATGAATATTTTTATTCTGAAAACTTACAAGAACAGGTTTTAAATAAGTTATTTTTGAACTTCAGTTAGGGCTGGCATGTAGTTCAGTGGTAGAGTGCTTGCCTGGCATGCACACAGGCCATGGACTCCATCCCCAGCACAGCAAACAAAACAAAACAAAAACATTGCATTTAATGTAATAGCTATTTGGTGCATATTTTTTGTAGACAGGGAGAAAAGGAAGGTGCTACATGTTGACGGGGCTTGAGGAATTCTAGTATACTTTTATGAAGTATTAAAAACATCAACTTGTATTAGTTTAGGAAACATACTAGCAATTTTTTTATCTTACTAAGTAATTATATTTTCATTTAAGAAAATTACCTGTAAATTAAATTTTCCTCTTAACAAAAGGAAGCATATAATTTATTTTAAATCAGAAGTAATAACAAAGTTATTTTGATATTTGGGAAACAGAAGGAAGAGGAGATTCGAGATTCATACAGAGACTTTGTGTAATCTTAAGAATGAATTTGAAAACTATTAGCCCAATAGCTTTAACATCCAAGCAAGCTAGTTTTCTTTTGTGAAAAGAATCTCATCCTCCCATCTTAACTTGGTTAAAAACAAAAACAAATCAGAAAAGATTCTTTTACTATTTGAATGAATTGTCACTCTAAGAGAAGTACTCACAAATCTGATTTTAAAAGCTCTATCAATATAGTCTATCATGGTAGAAGAGACGTAAGAAATATGGAGGTATCAATTCTGAAATTTAAATGTATATATTTGAAAAAAACCAAATGATATTGGTTAATGATAAGTGTTATATAAGTTATACTGTTGAATTTTATTAAAATAACCAAATATAGCATTTTGACATAGGAGTTTGGGGAAATATTTTAAAAGAATTTAAAGGGAATTTTTCCATGTTGTAGATGTTTTACTTGCTTTTTAGATTATGAAGGTAGTTTATTTACTTAGAAAGATCCAAAGAGACCCTAAAATAGTACTTAATCAGATAACATACTTTTAAAATTATCAATTTAATTTTAGAGAATTAGCATATTAACATATGTCTGACTTCAGTATTAGCTTCTGAAACATATTTTCATATATTTAAAGCTCTAGATACCACCATTTATCTATTTAGGTGTTTATCTGAACTGGAGCAATTTGAAGGACTTTCAGAGTACTGTAATATTCTTGAAACATTAGTTCAATTACAACTTTGTCAGTTAAAGTCCCCTAAGATAATAAATTCTGCTTAGTCTTTTTTGCTTTTTGGTAAAACATGTAAAATAATCGAATTGCTAAGATTTGGAGCCTTTTTTATACTGGAGAGAAATTTCTTTTTTTAAATTGAAATACTTATTAAATCATTTAGATATATGATTTTTACACAAAGTTCACTTTTACTTTTCTCATTGTGTTAGACATAGTTGTATGTCTAACACAGTGAGAAAAAATTTCCCAATAGTTTATTGGAAAACTTCCCATTAAACAGAAGTTACATTATAAATCTAGTATGCTTTCTGCTGAATGAAAAGGTGGGGAGGGGTGCATTGAAGCTTTTGTTCTTAGCAATTTCTCCTGGAAGAAATCATCACCACTCTCAGTTTGATTTGTTTCATTTAATTCTTGCCACATATACTTCTTGGGTCCTTATATGTTTTATATTGAAGTAATCAGTGTTGAGGCTTTTCTGTTCATTTAGATTATTTAAGCTTTCTGATCTATGTTTAGTTCTGAGCTGTTTATTGGTCCCATATTATTCAATAACTAAAGCATATGAAATTTACTACATTTTGTATTGATTTAATATTAATGTTAATCTAAAATCTTTGGGTGCAGTGTGTCACATCTGTTTTGTATTCTTCTGTTTAAAAGGAGTGGCAGTGTGGTATTTGAAGGAATATTTATTATCTGAGTGTTTTTCTTTGCAACAGTTTCCCTCAGTCCATTGAGAATTATAACTTCAGGAGACAGTGAATCATCAGCAAATTCTCAGGTACCCAACAGCTAAAAGCCACAGTTAGTTAGAATTTTAATTTACCATTTAAGTTCCCTTTGTTTATATACTTGTAACTTTGGAGGATTTATAAAACATTCTTTTCTCCAAACAATAGGTTGAGCTTGTGCTTCATGGATACTCTAGTTTTTTAGAAAAGATTTGATTAGATTGATTGTTGATTTGTGTTTGAAATGGCTACTGAATATTCTTATCCTGTCGTGGTGCTTCATAATCTTTTGAGGAGGTCTTGAATTTCTTGAAGTATAATGAGCAAAAGGTGTAAGCCCTCTTTCTGGGGTGAGTTGGAGAATACATAAGTACAAATATTTTACCACAGTTTTAGTTAATCCTGCTTCTCTCTGTCTAGTGTCCAAAGGTTCCAGGTTTAGAAGTATTGAATTGAAAAATCACTTCTAGTTTACTAGTTTTACCATCATATTATTATGCCACGTAAAGAGTTTTTTTTACTTCAAGCTTTATTTAATATATTTTTTTCTTGATCATTATATAGTATAAGGCACACATAATTTAAATCTTATTTTGGTGAAAAAACAATTTCCTTTTAATTGTAAAGTTGAATTTATGAAATTATTGACATGCTTGACCTTCTATGTGCTTCAGGCTCTATCTTAAGATACTTAAAAACAACAACATCAACAAAAAAACACAACAACTCATTTTGCATCAGAGATGAAGACAATGGAAGAAAGATATGAGTTCTTATGAAGACAGTAGCTCTTTAGAAAATATATTGTATTTATTGTTTTGCATAAAAATACAGGTTCTCTTGGGCTGGGGATGTGGCTCAAGCATAATGTGCTTGCCTGGCATGTGTGGGGAGCTGGGTTCTATCCTCAGCACCACATAAAATAAAATAAAAGATGTTGTGTCCACTGAAAACTGAGAAATAAATATTTTAAAAAATTCTCTCTCTCTTTAAAAAAAGAATAAAAATAAAAAATACAGGTTCTCATTTTAACCCATTTTTGTCCAATTGTCTCAGATGTGGAACACTCGGAAAACTTAAATTGAGCCACAATTGTATATTTACCTTCTAGGTAACTTTGAAATAATATTTGAGTATTTATTTTATATTCACACAATTGAAAACTTGGGACTTAATGAGTTAATAAAAGACTGTGAAACTATTTATTAACTACTAGGTTGTTCTGGTTAAGAGCTCAAACTTGAGGATCAAGTTAGGGTCTAAATCCAGCTCAATTGCTTACCTTGGGCTTACTGGTCACTTATAAAATAGATCTAATTCATTAAATGAGATAATTTCTGTAAAGTAGTTGGTTTTATATTTTGTACAAAATATGCTCTCAGTTATCTCTTATTGTATGGTGTTAATGAGAAGAAGGGTAATTAGCCATGCTTTCCAATTGCAGTGTTCATTTTTCCTATCACAAAATTTAGGATAGTGGATTGCAAAAAGATAAGTCTTCATGTTCTCGAGAATAATCTTTTAAAGTCTTAGTGGCTTATAGTTGTCAAAATTCAATCAAGGACTGGGGATATGGCTCAAGCGGTAGCGCGCTCGCCTGGCATGTGTGCAGCCTGGGTTCGATCCTCAGCACCACATACAAAGGTGTTGTGTCTGCCGAAAACTAAAAAATAAATATTAAAAAAGTTCATTCTTTCTCTTTCTCTCTTTCTCTCTCTCTCTCTCTCTCTCCCTCCCCCCCCTCTCCCTCCCTCCCCCAAAGACAAGAAAGTAGTAAACCAACTTTTCCCCTTGTTATTTCTCAGTGTTCACTTATTACATTGGGGTAGTATATTAATAAGTTATCCACTGAATTTGTTTCATGTAATCAAAGTAAATATAGAGGAGCAGAGGAAGAGAGAGATTGTTAAGAATGGATTAAAAATTGAGCACCGACACGTATCTGCTTTTGAATCTTGACACCTACATAGTCCTGTGGTATAAAACCATAGGTCTTGTATATAATTTGGATAGATAACATTTCTTTGCACTTTATGTCATAAAGGAGAACTCTAAATTTAAAATGTTTGATGAACTGTAGAAATGCCAACCAGCATGCAAAAGTCAGCTGTATGAGAGTGTTCCAGTTATGGTTCGTGAAGTTTCTGGAGCCACAGGAGAAAGGAAAAGGATGATTTATATGATACTTTGATTAAAGAAATTATTAAATGAAATGGTGAAAGGATCAAATCCAATGAAAGGATAATTTCAAGCCCTCCTGAAAAAAAGGGTCTTTTGCTCTTTGTTTTTTATGTTGTGGTTATTATGAATAAATAACCAAATAATAACAATAGTCGTAATTACGGCAATTTGTGTGGGTGGGGATATGTCCTCGTATCTACACAGGAATAAATGTCAGCCAGCAATGAATTCTAAACACAGGAGAAACTAAGTGTATTCTGAACATTTTGAAATTTATTATCAGGGAAAAGTATTCATTGTGTTCATCTATAAACTTTCTCTTATTATCAGCAAGAGAGAAAATAACGGAATGAATTTATCCAGGATATAATAACCCCATGTGTTTTCTATGTGGAAGAAAACAAACACTGCTTAATATAACTTTGTATTGATGAAATACTAAATGCTTTGGTATCATTGAGGTATAAAGAGAGCACTTTGCCTGAGTGTGTGTGTATGTGCGTGTGTGTGTTTTATGATATGGTGATGTATATATATATACATGTATATATATATATACATATATATATATATATATGTGTGTGTGTGTGTATATGGTGTGTATGTATATATACATATACACCATACATATATATGGTGTATATGTATATATATATATACATATACACCATATATATGTATATATATATATATATATGTAATACAGTAGATATTCTCAGTCACACATATATATGTTCTTTGGCTAGGTAGAAAGTTTGGAAAACAATGTTGCCCCCTTTTTTTTCTTTTTTCTTTTTAGTATCACCAGTGAAGCAGGAGCATCAATCTACAGTGTTAGTCCTGAAGCTAACAAAGAGATGCCAGGGCTAGATCCTAATTTAAGAAGTGCAGGTAAGAAACTATGGTCCATCACAAAAACATGTCATTTTGATATTTGGGACTTGCATGTGTGCCAAGCTGAATATTTTCAATACCCAAGAAACTTTAAAAGATATACCACATGCCCAAGAATTGGCATAATAGAAGGAAAGTGGTTGATTTTACTAATAATTGGAATTATGGAAAAGAAGAATAATACTGTCCCATTTTTAAAGAACATTACATAGTACTCTTAGAGAATAGTAAAAAATTAACCCAAAAAGTATTTAGAAAATCAAATTCCAGAGAGTTTAATAATAAAAATAACAGAATACTTTTTATTACTATTACAAAATATAATTATAGGCTTTTGGCAATAAGTAATATTTTAACATAAAATTTTTGTAGTACAAATGCATGCATATACAGTCTTTCAGTTTACCGCTAAATATTTGTCAAGTGCTTTGTCTCTCGTGGGTTAATTATAAAGGTTGTCATTTGATAGTGTATTGCCTTAAAAAGCCTACTTTTATTTTAGTAATATTTGATTGCTTTAATTTCTGTGATGTGGAATATTTTATTTCAAGAAGTTTGAATACTTTCATACATCAAGTAGAAACAGTTGTGTCAAGCAAAATATTAGATCTGGTCAGAGCATTTTTCTGTGTAATGGAAGGATATTAGATCACTTTGTTACTAATAGGCCTTTCATTTAATTTTTTCTTTAAAGTATCACTTCAGTTTTCATTGGCTGTTCTTGAAATCTATACCTAGAGATATATTTTTGAGCAGTTTTCCATTAATCTAAAGCTAAAAAGTTCTTTTTCAAACATTCAAAAGGCCTTGTAGTTTCTCTTCAATTGTTTCTTCCATAACACAGTTCCTTGTCTAAAATTATCATCTTCTCAAACTCAAAATTCCAGTTCAACATCTTGCTTCTTCTATGAAGCTGTTTCTATCACATGTGCTTAACCTGGTCTTTGCCTCCTTACCATGTGCTTTTGGTGTTTGCCCTGTAATAACAATAGTGATGATAATGGTAGGAGGAGTAGAAATAGTAATCATAGTGAGAGTTTCTAATTCCAATCTTTCTTAAGTACTTAATATGTATAAAACATTGTGAGAAATAATTTATCAAGATTATTTTATTTTATCCTCACAGTTGCCCTATAAGACATCATTATTATTCCTACTTTACAGATGAGAAAACTAAGGCTTAAAGGGCCACATAGCCAGTAAGTGTGTATGTAATATTTGTGTACGTAATGTTTATAAAAGAATGATGTTTTCTTTATAAATAATAAAGTCCAGAACTTCCCAAGTTAGCATTGAAAAGATATCTTTTTTCTGGAAGGCAGCAGTCCTCAGTCCTTCCACTGCTTGAGGGATTGCTGTTTCTTCCTAACCCTTGTCCATGTGGCTGCACAACTGTTAAAGAATTATAGGTGGGACCAGATTACAACATTCTATCAAGACTCTATGAAAGAAGACCATAATAATAAAAAAGGGAATTACTATGTGACTTGAATTAGTTTGTGATTCTCATCCCTTCCTTGAGAATCACAAGATATATCTCAACTTGCTGCTGTGTGGCAATGATGATCTTTAATCCATATCAACTCAAAACATCTACCTGGACCCTTAGAGTCTTTAAAGTCTAGGTCTGAAGGCAAATATTCAAACAAGCTTCAAGTCTCCATTCTTGGCTTCCAAGGGCTTACTTCCTTTTTCTTTTTTGTTTTTTATTTTTGTAGTGTCGGTTTTTATACATGCTAGACTCTACCTCTGAGTTCCACCCACAGCCCCCACTTCCTTTTGAGTCCTGTTTCTCATTGGGAGTCTTCCTCTTTTGTAGTACTTTATGCCAAAAATGACTTTGTACTTTGAGACCTGAGCTACCTATGATTATGGGATTTACCTTTAAACCTTGCTGTGGTTTGGGTGTTTGTCTGCTGAAGATTCGTGTGCTAGAAACTCAGTCCTTAGTGTAGTGATGTTGACATGTGGTGGAATCTTTCTTTCTTTCTTTTTTTTTTTTTAGATGGGGGGTACTTCGGAGTGAACCCAGGCTCTTAACTGCTGAGTCCCATATCACCTCTTTTTAATTATTTTATTTAGAGACAGGGTCTTGCTGAGTTGCTTGGGGCCTCACCAAGTTCCTGAAGCCGGCTTTGAACTCTAGATCTTCCTACTTAAGCCTCCCAAGCCTCTGGGATTACAGACATGTACCACTGAGCCTGGCTCTGGTGACATCTTTAATTGGTGGGGTCTAGTTTGAGGTAATTAGCTCACTAGAGCATCATTCCTGAAATGGATTAATGCTAATCTTGTGCAGTTAGTTGTTACAAGGCCACCTCACGTGCTTTGCCCCTTCAACATGTGGCTGGTTCCCTTTCTGTTTCTCTTCCATTTTGTGACACAGCCAAGAGAGCCCTCACCAGAGGTTGAATTGATGAGGCCATACAATCTTGAATTTTTAGGCTCCCAAAATACTGTGAGTTAAATAAACCTTTTTATTTAAGACATTTCCAGTTTAAGGTATTCTGTTATAACAACAGAAAATGGGCTAATACAAATTCTTTGTAAGTTTACTTTTATATAATAGAACCTCAGCAGCCATGCAAGTGTTAGACATACATAAGAGAATGACCTTTGTATTACTACATCTCCTTGGTCAGTTTATCATCTTATTGAAAATAGAAGTTGTCTTATCAATGCTTATCTCTCCCATAATAAGTACATTGTACAGGAAAGGCCTTCAATCTGAATGGATAAACTAACAGATGATACTAAAATGTTTATTGATTTCTGACTTAAAATGGGAAATGGAATATACTTTTTATGTCTTCCGTCCCTTCTGAAATCCTATTAAAATGACAGAAACATTCTGTTTAAAGGAATAAGAAATAAGCCCTCTAGGACAAAAAGAATGATAGAAGAGAAAGCAGCAACAAAATGTTTTGAAACTAGAAGCCAGATAGATGAGTTATAAGTGACCTAGCCAGCTGGAGAAAGTTGAATTCTAAGGCAGCATTGTAGAAAACAGAAGATAATGTGATGATATGGCTTATGCAATCCCTCCTGATTCAGGAAAGTGGTATGAAGTACCTTTGGAGGTATGCTAGGAAGGCCAAGGGTGGTTCTAAAATAAGAGGATTGGTTGAAAGTCTGTTTCAAAATCAAAGAGACCAGGTTAAGCATAGAATTACAACCTGACCAGCAACTGCACTTCTAGGTATATACCCCAAAGAATAGAAAATAGGAACTAAAATGCTTGTAATGCAAATGCTGATAGCAATATTCACAGCAGTCAAAAGCTGGAAACAACTCAAATATCTTATCAGCAGATGAATGTGTTATATTCATACATTAGCATATTATTCAGCCATGAAAAAGAGTAGAGTACTGATACTTGCTGCAACTTGATGAACCTTGAAAATATTAAACCAAGTGGAGAAAGCCAGTCACAAAAGACCACATTTGTCTGATTACATTTATATGAAATGTGCAGATTAGGAGAATTTGTAAGATAGAATTTGTGGTTATCAGGCACTATAGAGAAATGGAAATGACTGCTTAAATGGGTACAAAGTTTTCTTTTGGTGTAATGATAGAAGTGGTGGTTGCATAACATTGTAAGTGTAGTGAGTAGCACTGAATTGTACACTTTTAAAAATGATTAATTATATGTTATTTAACTTTCACCTCAATAAGATAGCAACAGTTAGACCTTTCCTTCCACATAGTTAGGTTACTGTTATTTTTCTGCCTTTACTGAAGACTAGAGATTTGTTTTCTGGAGTGGTGAAACAAAGTTTCTACAGTGGTGGACACAGCTTACATACAGGAGTGGGGATGCCATAAAGAGTATTTAGAGAGGAACAAACCTTTTATGAAAATTGATAGCTTTGACCAACACAAGAGATAATACCTAAAGAAACCAAGATCAGAGATTCCATAGAGAAATGACCAGAGCACCCTGTATTGATGCCAGCGGTAACGCTTACCTTTGAAGAAAGTACTTCCAGTCAGCTTGTTCATACCCTGCCCGTTGTGGACAGTCAAGGGTCACCTAACGTATAAAGAAAACTTACTTATGACATGTCAAAATACACCAGGGGAAAAGCTACGGAGGAAGTAGAATTGATGTTGGCAGAAGAAAAATAAGGAAATGTTTAACATTCTCAGAGAAATAGAATTATTCCATTCATTTAGAGATACATCCATAAAGTAAAATTCATCTTTTCAAAAGGAAGACATTATTCTTTAAATTTTTCTTTTAAAATTCATTACAGAAAATGATGAATTCACCATCTATGAATTTTGATTAACTTATATAACCTCTACTAACTCTGTTACAATCAAGATGTATAGTGATTTTTTTAAACTACATTAACATATTTGTTAGCTTCTTATTCAACAGAGTCAAGGTGATATGTTGACATCAAAATTATTAACATTACATTTTAATAAAGTGGGTTTTCTTAATGGCACTGGGGATTGAATACTCTACCACTGAGCTACATCTCTAGCCCTTTTTTCATTTTTAATTTATTTTATTTACTTATTTTTGGGGGGCGGTACTGGGAATTGAACTCAGGACCCTCAGCCACTGAGCCACATCCCTAGCCCTATTTTGTATTTTATTTAGAGACAGGGTCTCATTGAGTTGCTTAGTGCCCCGCTTTTGCTGAGGCTGGCTTTGAACATACAATCCTCCTGCCTCATCATTTTTTATTTGAGCTAGGTTCTCACTGAATCACCCAAGCTGGCCTTCAACTTGTGATTCTCCTGCCGCAGTCTCCCAAGTATCTGGGATTGCAGGGTTGGGCCACTGTGTCCAGCCTTAATAAACTTTATAATGAAAACAATTCAAATTTGATGTTATTGAATGAAAATTTAAAAACTACATTGAGAAATTTTATGGATTTTCCTTTGTTCCTTCCTGACAAGGGGAAAGATAAAAACAAGATGAATATTGGATCTTAAAAAGAAATACCTCTATTTAATATTGTTAGATAATATAATAAGACAAAATTAAAAGTAGAGTCTTTTTTAGGCAATGATTTGATTTACTCTAGAAGCTTTAGGATTCTAGGTATTTCATAGAACTCAAGGGCCCTGGAACCGTTTTTATTTTTTGGATACAAGGCATGTAATGAAAGGGGGTGAGAGGTGTTGCTTTCAGACTACTGTATATCAGCATGCAAGTTGTACACAGTGTAACTTAGCCATATGAGAAAGGTGTTGCTAACCTTTTAGGGTGACGATCTTCACTAAATCTGGACTCACTATCCTCCTTTATGTATCTAACACATTTTTTCCTCTAATGCTTCTTAGCTCAATACCCTTATTAATAATTTTCTTTTTCACATTTAATGACAACTACCGTTTACCAAATTACTATTTATTAACAACTAAAATTTCATATGTACTTTCTGTGCTCTTTTCATTGGTCTAAGTAGTTTAACACAATTCAAGATTCTGTTTTTGTGACTTATAATAGGAGTGCTTTTATCTTTTTTAATTGTACTTTTCTTAGGTGTTTCTTTTTTTTCAAATAAACTTTAAATCCATTTAATAAATAGTTTTTAAATTCTGTAAGATATAAAGCAAAATTCTGTTAGCATCTATCCTTTTGTCCAGTTTCTGTACTTTTTTATTTCTCTCGGAGATTAAGTAGACACACACACACACACTACATATATGGTAAATGATCCTTTTGTTTTGCTTGTTTTTAATTTTAATTTACCACACTGTATATTAGATCTCCAGAACTTACTTATCTTATAACTGCATGTTTGTACCCTTTGACCAACATCTCCCCATTTTTTTTTCCATTCCCCAGTCCATTTCTTATTGGCTGTTGAGTGCATAAGATAGAGCATCATGTTTTGACTGTGTGTTGAAACCAGCCAGACTGACTGGAATCTTATTAGTTCTTACATTTTTTCAGTTCACTTGCTACTTTAGTTTTTTAGGTAGACAAATATCATCTGCAAATAAAAATAATAATAATCTAGTTTTTATACTGTATTTATATTTATATCTTCCTTTTTGTTAAAGCATATTAACTATTATTTCCTGAACAATGGTAAAAAGTAGCATTGGTATAGGAAAATATTAATCTCACTTGTGTATAAAGTAGTATTTGGATTCCATTCAGCCCACCCTTCCCATTTACCACGCCAACTCTTGGCAAACTAATCTGCCCTCTAACTATGTGCATTTGCTTGTTCTGGACTGTTCATTTGATTAGAATCATACGGTATGTGGTCTTTTATGTCTGGCTTCTTCACTTAGCATAATGTTTCCCAGGTTCATCCATGCTCTTCCTCAAAGTATATATCAACATTTCACTGTCGAGTTACCAAATGATACTCTTTTGAATGGGTAGACCACATTTTGTTTATCCATTCATCAGTTGATGGATATTTATGATGTTTTTACTTTTTTTTTGGTTATTTTAGATAATGCTTCTGTGAACATTCATTGATAAGGTCTTATGTGGACATGTTTCCATTTCTTTTGAGTATTTACCTAGGAATAAAAATTTGAGGGCATGTGATAACTGTATGTTTAACATTTCTCAGAAATCATATTGACTTACATCAGTTACTGTAGTCTCCTTATGATTCATTTGTTGCTTTTTTCCATTATTTCTACCTTTTGCTCTCCATCTCAAAATAAAGATGTTCCCTAAGATTGGGTCTACAACTTCCTTTTTTTAAAAATTCTTTTGGTAAACTAGCTTATATATTCTCTTTTCCTGAGTTATCTCTTACTTTTTCCTTGTGGGAATCTTTTGCCAAGCCTGATTATGATCCACTGGAGCTCTGCTTTATCATGTGTACTAAGTAACTCTTGCTTGGTGATCTTGTCAATTTTTCTCCAAAGCCTGAACATGTGACTGAATCTGTCTTGATTGGTGTTCATCTTTCATCCTCTTTACCCCTCCTTCCTTTTCTTCCATACTTAAGTTTTTAGACTATACAGAGTGAATAGCATCTGAGAGGGAAATACCAACTGGAGAAACATTAGGTTGTCTGTCAAGGCTGTTTATTGGAAGCACTGTAACTCCAGAGGCTCTGGACTTATGTAGCATTAACATGTCACCTAGAAGCCCCAATATTCATTCCATTACTCTGCTGCATTTAGTAATATTAGAATGCAAAAAGGAACATAGCAATTAGATGCAAACAGAATAGAAAATAGCTTAAAACCCTTTTGTATATTTCCGAAAAATTTTAACTATGAGGCTGTACCCACACTTAACAAATTATGCAATTGCTTTAACCAGTTTCTGTTTAGAGTTTCATAATGTGGGTTTTCTGGTAGGGGTAGATTTAAGGGATTTACCCATTATTGATCTTCTTTTATTGCATTTCTAGTACTTGCCTTTCTACACTTAAATATTCTGATGCCTATATTTTAACTTGGTTTATTCTTTGTTTTTTTTTTTGTTTATTCTTAAAGTATTTTGGCAATATATATACGTTTTTTGAAAATCACTCTTTTTTTTTTTTGAGAGAGAGACAATGAGAATTTTTTTTTAATATGTATTTTTTAGTTTTCGGGAGACACAACATCTTTGTTTGTATGTGGTGCTGAGGATCGAACCCAGGCCTCACGCATGCCAGGCGAGCACGCTACCGCTTGAGCCACATCCCCAGCCCTGAAAATCATTCTTACTGCATTATAGATTTAAAGCTAGGATAAATGAATGTTTGGTTTATAGAAATTCAAGTACATCACTAGTAGCACTGTATTTTCATTTTGTAATTGTAGCATTATTAGAGGAAAGCATTTCTTTTATAGCCTGCAGTGTTTACACCTAATTAACCTTTTTTTAATATTTATTTTTTAGTTGGAGTTGGACACAATACCTTTGTTTTATTTATTTATTTTTTTTAATGTGGTGCTGAGGATCAAACCCAGGGAATCACATGTGCTAGGCAAGTGATCTACCACTGAGCCACAACCCCAGCCCCCCCCCATTAACCTTTTGTGATTTTTTTTTTTTTCTTTTGATGGTGCTGGGGATTGAACTCAAAAACTTGCTTGTGCTTTACCACTGAGTAAACCCTCAACTCTGCTTTTGTGAATTTTGATTGAAAGGTATATGTGAAGGCCTTGAAATCCTCTCTTCTGTAAGAGAAATAGGCGGATTGTATGTCACCAGGTTACTAATATCTAAACTTACTTTGCAATTGCCTTTGTCAACATGTGTTACATGTATTAAGAGAGGACATGAAAATGACAGTGTCCATATAGTGAACTTGATGTTCATAGTAGATCTTATTTTCTGACGAGAGAGGACTAGAGAATCTGAAGATCTCTTACAAGAGGTGACTTTTGTTGCTAGACCTAAACAGTTTAATATGAAAGCAAGCATGGATTTCCTTTGGTAGGGTTACAATGTTTTCACTTAATGAATTTACATTGCATCCGGTCAATATGAGTAGGTAACACTGATTGGCTTTCATGTATTTAGAAAATAACACAAGATAGCTTTATTTAAATAAAATGTACATAAAGTACTCAATGTAACTATGTATGTACACAACAGTACTTGATAATATAATATATATTAGTGTATTGTATATAATAGTGTGTATATATGTATGAAGCTGTTCATACGTAAGGACTCGGTGTTACTGTGCTACTTGGGTTGGGGCTGGGGTGGTGCCTTTAGAAATATCCATAAAAGTCATAATAAATATGTTTTCTCTATCTAACTCTGTAAGTTCAATTATATAGAAGTTTTATTGTTTGGTTAAAATGATGGCAGTAAATGATGATTAGGTAAAAAATCATGATGTAGATAAAAGTATGTTTGAAGTTATTTTTCAAGTTTCTTGAGTATGGATTGTGATGGTCAAGAAAGGGATGTGATTAGAACTGTATATGTGTTACAAGACAAGCAGTTGGGCTAGAGCGCCTCCCAATGCACTCCTGCAGTCATATTCAGTGGCATACAAGTGTATTCACTACCTAGTAGACTCAGTATTTCTGCTTGCATTAAGATATGATTCATTATTTATTCATTATTATCACAGGATCTCGTCCTGATAGCATATTTGACATATAACTACAAGTCATATGTTGTGGGGGAGGCTCAGACTCTTTGGAAACAGATTTGGGATCCTGGCAGGTGGAAGAAGATGTACAACATAGTTGGGATAGTAGACATTCTGTATTCAGAGGCAGCAGCAGTCCCCCAGCCTCCAACCTCATTTTTTCCCCATTTTTTTCCCAGCCAGTTCCATTTAGATCCCTGAGCCATTTCCATAGGCCTTTTTTATATGCAGGCCAAACAAAAGAAGCCCATTGCCTTCAGGTTACATAAGTGGGCATATGCTCACAAGCAAACGTTTATAACCTTGATATATATGCAGAATCAGGGTAGTCATGATCTTGGCTTCATACTAAAAACATAATCCGCCAGAAGCCTTGACAAAGGATCCTAACTATAGCCATCTTGAGCTTGCCCTACATCATATTTATAATTATAATTATTTAAAAATAAAACAAATATCTACTCACTTTTTAAAGCATGAAATATCCTATTCTTTAAGAATGAACAGATAATTATATAGGTATGTGAACTAAGTGTTATGATTGTTTTTTTCAAGTCTATAATTCTTTTTAGTCTATTTATGCTCAAGAATGCCTAGGATGGCATGATTAATTCTGAAATTTTTCATGGGAAAGAAAGAGAACTTTGAAATTTAAATTGTTTGTCCTTGGAGGGCAGTATAAGTAGGGATAGAATTAAGCACTTAAATTATGAGGAACTAACATAAGTAATTATCTGAGTACTGCTTTTCACATTAAGTCATACTTGTTTTCTGATTCTGTTTTTTTCAGTTTCCATAGCAAGGCGTGTACAAGATCCATTAGCTGAGCTAGTGAAAATTGAGCCGAAGCACATTGGAGTTGGAATGTATCAGGTAAAGCAATGTGGATCATTTAATTTATGAAATCCATCAATACAAAGAGCAGTGCTCAAATCTGGCATAGTAATTAAGTGTTAGTGGGAATAGATTTCCATTTTTAAAGGTCATACGGTGAGGAGGTAGTTAGGAGGTATATGTTACTGGGGATACTGGGGAAGGAGAGAATTCTTGCTTTTTCTTGTGTTTGTGATCTTGATCAAGTCTTAGAATGGTCTCTAGTCAAATGTAAAAACTAGTAAACCTTTAGATCAAACTAGTAACAATTTGGAGAGCCTTTCCTTTTAATAGTATTATAAAAATGGAAAGAGTGTGGAATGGAGGGGGCACATTTTGGTTCTTTGTGTAAACCAATATGAACCATTGAACTTTATTGATCTTTTAGGAAGAAGCTTTTGGTCCCTACTGTGCCTTATTCCCCCTATTTTCCATTTGTTTGATTGTTGTAATTGGGTTTTGATTATTACCCAGAATAAAACTTACCAATTGTTATTACTGTATAGTACCAGTAGTAGCAGCAGCAACAGTACTAGTAGTAGTAGTTGTTGTTTTTGTTGTTACTGTATTTTCAATTCTTAAGGTTCTATGTGTTCATTGAGCAATTGGAAACAGCACTGAATCTTTAATAGTGTGAATTCATGGTGGTAGCAGGATAGCTTATGGGGCTTAAATTTGTCTCCAAAAAGCTTGGGTCAAATTGTTTTTCTCTTTGATAAAATCTTCTTAAATCTAAAATAGAATATTACCTTCTATTACAATTGTGATTATAATACAGTATGATTACAATCTTCATGGACTTTAAGTGATAATTATTGTATTGTACATTCACTCATGAAATCTGTGATTACTAGAAATAGAAGAGACCTTATAAATCATACAACCTTACTTCCTCACTTGACAGAAATAATGGCTGTGCCTTAGAGTAAGAATTTTTACTCAGGATTATATGGTGACAAAGTTTGTATGAACTTGCCATATATTGAAACTATATGAGTATTTCCATTGTATAGGAAGTTGGACTAAGAGGCATTCAGAGCTTTAACTGGCCTTGTTCGTTTGGGAAAACATAGTTACTAAAGGGATTTAGCTACAAGTAGATACAAAAACCTGGTTTCTAAAAGATTATAACTTAAAACAGATTTGTGATATAGACAGTTTTTGTGAGGGGAATTGTAGTTCTATTAGATGAAATTATGGGTCATCTTAGCAAGGTAGGTAGGATAAGAAAAAGAGCCAAGATTTCACATTTCTAGAATCCAAGCAGGCTAATAAGTCACTAGTATCAATGAGGTCTTTAAGTAAATATCAGAGACCTAACAAGAGATTGAGTTTAATGGAAAGAGTGAAATTATTGCAATAGCAATAAGACATAGAAGAGTTTAGCAAGGGATTGACTCGGATCTTTTTTGTATTTATAAATGTTGACTTTGGTATTCTGGTGAAAATGGATTAGAGGGGAAGAGGAAAAGCAATAAAGCCAATTAAGTGGCTGTTAAAGTAGCCCAGGTAAGAGATAATGGTGCTTGGACAAAGTTAATGGCTCTAAAGATGAAAAGAAATTAAGTCTATTTTGTAGGGACTACTTCATGATAAGTAAGAGAAAAGAAATTGTCAAGAATTTGCTCCATGGGTTCTGGTATGTGTTTGATGCTTTAGTAATGTAGATTTTGGGTAATTCAGTTTTGAACATGTTGGTTTTAGATACTTATAAGAAATCTAAGTAAAGATGTTAAACAGAAGTTGCATCTACAAGTCTGAAATTAAAAGAAAGAGCCCTATGAAATTGAAGTGCATACTGTTTAACAAATAATAAAATTGAGAAAGTAGTCAGATGGTAGGTTGAACTTATGATATTCTTTAACTGCCCTACCACTACTGCCAATGTATCCACAACTCCAATTCTCTGAAATAACAGAAAAGGTGTACATGTGTATCTATACCCATGTGAATTCATATTTGTCTGTCTGAATGATAATGACTAGAAAAATAAGAAAGGATCCTATTAGTGAATGGAAATTTCAGGAATTCCAGAAAGACACTAAGTGTGAAGAGTCACTCCCACAAAGATAAAACTGGCTGGAACTACAGTCCAAAACATGTACAGGTCATTTGTTAACACATAAATTTTAAACCAGATGATGAATTGGAAAAACTTTTTCGCCACAAGTTTATATATATGTTTTGATAACTACATATTTTACTATTAAGATTTTTTGTTGATTTGTATACATTTATATGTTAGTTTCTATAAAACATTTACATAAAATATATATAAGGAGTCTTTACATGCCATTTATCATGAAAAGAATAGAAATTTATCTTTATTATCAAACCAGGTGTTGTTATTTCAACATAACAGTTGAATAAAGTTGTAATAAAAATATATGTGTAGGTGGGAAGGATATGATGTAACAAGCATTCATATACACTTCTTGTAGAAGTATATATTGCTATTTCTAGCAAATAGTCACTTTTTAAAAAATATATTCTTTTTACCTGGAAATTCTTCTTTTTGTAATTCCAAGGTAGTAATAAGAACTTCTGGTAACACTTATATACAAATTTGCTGGACAAATTGCAAAATATTGGAAGCAATTATAGTAGGAGAATAATTAAACCGATTATGATATGTATGTTAGTTGATATATTATACAGCCATTAAAAATTCAGGCTTTCAAGGATTTACAAACATAAGAAAATTGCTCCTGGCACAATATTTTTAAATTACAGCAAAGGTGTTGTTATAGATAAAACTAACATGTGTTTTTAAAATATAGCTATGTTATTTACATCAAAAGAAAAAATTGTACCTGGAAAGTTACTGTAATTTATGTGTTTGGTTGATGTGATGGGGGAATTTTTTTTTTTTCACTTTTTCAAGCTTTCTGTAGTGAATATGTAGTAGAAAAAATTATTTATATAAATATATAAATAAAAATATCCATTTCCATGTCTCAGTCAATATACTGCTTAGTCTTGATACGATGAATTTTCAATACAACCCTAGAGGAACTTACCTTTGTAGTTGAAACCTTCCCATGGTTTTAGTATAAATTTAATACTTACATTCATTCCAATTTAAGATATAAGTAGCTGGACAAACATTACTGATTTAAAAAATGAAAACTATTCAATGAAAGTGTTAAATAGAAACTATAATATTATTTCAATAGAAACTGAAATTCTTTTGGTTTAATAACAGCTAAAATGCTAAAGGCAGCATTCCAATCCGTGTCTTAGAAAATGGAGAGAGCTGATTTTAAAAACACATGCCTGTCATTATTTCTGAAGAGAGAGGCCGCCAGTGTGGTCGAATGACAGCATATCCCTAACTGACCCCTAAAGACTTTGCTGGAAAGTGGCTTGGTGTTACTCCCAAGAAAATACTCCGGGTGAGAGCAGGATGATGCAGGATTGGCTGTGGAAGTTCTGTGGGACGTGGGGAATGGTGGTTTAGCTTGGCCTTGTCATACCCTGAAAGCACAACTTAAATTAAGTTGGATTTACTTGCTATTTATTTTTTCTTTGGAGTGTGTTCTAGATACTTTCATGCTCATTAACACCTCTATTTGGTAATGAGCATGTGCAGTGTAGTAGGAAGGACTAAGAACAGCCTCTTTTCTCCTTTTGTGCTTCTCTGTTAGATGATTTGATGATGTTAGAATATGAAATGGTTGTCCAAAATAAGTTTTTGGAACCCTTAGTGGATTTTGTATCCAGGCCATCTTTATTTCTCATTGTGGATAATGAGGAGTCACTGTAAAAGGAAATTCATCTTCCCAGCTGAAATTTTTCATGGTAGAACCCTAAAGGTAGGAATTTGCATTTTATTTCACTACCCGCTCTGTGCTTAATTCTGGGTAAAAACAAACTAATAAAACTAAAAGCAACTCTTTGATGCTAACATTAGTTTGTTAAAAACTGTTTTATAGTGAACAAGTAGAAATTATTAAGTGTAATTTTAGTTTAAGTGTATAAAAGTTAATCTATTCTATATTTTTTACTCAAATCTGTAAAATACTTATGTCTCTGAACTGTTTGTCATTGTAGAATGGGTTGCAGAAGAGAGTCTGCCCCATAGACAGTCATTTAGGTAATTTGTTTGGCTTTTTGCCATTTACACTAATGCAATATTTTGAAATAAATACAAAATGAAACTATCTTAAAACTGAGGTATTATTCATTCACACAGGTAAATTCCTTGCTAAAATGGTTTTGCAATCTTGTCTCTCGACTCTAAGTCCCAAGAGAAAAGATATACTGAATCTGCTTTATGTTATGAATGAAATTCAAACTTAGCCTTGGACTTAGATATTTTAATCATGACCATGAAGAGACCCCCCCCACAGAATGCAAATAAGTAATTGACCCTGATAGACTCATGTATTAGAATTTGCTAATTATTCCTTAAAAATTTTTTTTTGGGGGGGTACTGGGGATTGAACTCAGGGGCACTCCACCACTGAGCCACATCCCCAGCCCTATTTTGTATTTTATTTAGAGACAGGGTCTCACTAAGTTGCGTAGCGCCATGCTTTTGCTGAGGCTGGCTTTGAACTCGCAATCCTCCTGCCTTAGCCACCCAAGCCGCTGGGATTACAGGCATGCACCACAGCACCTGGTTTATTTCTTAAATTTCAAGTTTTAAAATTTTTATTTGAATACTTTATCCCTTTGGGATAAATTAGGCTTCCTACATGGAAGCATTCTCATGTTCTTAGAAATCACCAACAATGTAAAAAAAAAAAAAAAATATATATATATATATATATATATACACACACACACATATACTCTAATGTTGTAGTATTACTTATCTTTAAAATAAATGTGAAATCTTAGTATTATGTGACTCACCTTTCACCAATACCCCAACAGTGATAATATTTTTGTTTGCTTTTGCTCTGTCAGTGACCTTGACAGTGAAACTAGATTTGTGTCATTTTCTACTCAGTTCACCTTCTAGTTTTCATACACTGGCACAAAAATCACTGTCT